CTTCTCTTTTTTTTCCTTTCTTTGATATTTTGTAGTGACATCTCATTTGTAAATCTTTTTCTAAAGATGTTTGTTCGTCTCCATGACATTTGATAATGGGTTTTTTGGCAGGTCAGCCTCAAAGGCTCCAGTTTATTGATATTTTTAAAACTGGTTTGTACAAATGTGTTATGTCAACAAAAAACAAAAAAAAAAGGGAAAAAAATTACAAGCAGAAAAGATGCTTTGCCTGCATAACACTTGACAATAAAGTGATTCTTAAAGTGAGGCTCACATTTCATCTCTGATGATTCTGAGTGGGGAGTGAGTCACTGCGAATTTATTATATTTTTACATATGGTACTCTTTGCACAGACACACAGCTATAACTCGTGCCGCCTCCTTATTACTGGGTATTCTCTCAGCTGTGTTTTGACAGCGGTGATGATGAAGTAGCCGCCCTCCCTGTGGGAACAAATACTGCTCCCGGGTTTCTCTTTGTGCCACTTGTGGCCTTCAGAATGGCGCTGCGAAGATCCGACCTGAGTCGCAGGACAATCAATGAATTTCTTCTTGTTTATTTCTGGAGGTTTTTCTTAGATGATGGAAACTCCAGAAATAAAAACAACATCTTAATTGCAACGCCAAGCGCCAAGCCTGTGAGGGTTCACCCACAAGTCACTCTGTCGGGTTTACAAAGCGTGTCACGTAGTTGGCACCTCACGTGTACCTTTGGCGCGTCACTCCTTTGAAGCTCTTCAAAAACAGTTCGCAGCTCTTCTCTCTGCACCCTCAGGTGCTTCTGTCAAGTTTTGTAGGTATCAATTATTTTAATCTAATAAGCTATAGAAGTATCAGAACAAAGGCAGACTTTTTTATTCTCCTATCACACACTGAAGCATGAGGGGGGGGAAAGGGGGGAAATTTCTACAATAAAGCCTCTCTGTGGCTCTTCAGTGCTTAAAAATCCCAGTAATGTTAAGTGAGAACCAGGAGACCCACACTGATCATCATGGGTAAGATTAGAGCTTCAAATGACAGCTGTAATAATTTTCTCACTCGTGCTGCATAATAATGAGATGCATAGAGAGCCGGTGACCTCAGGATAACCTCTGACCATGCTTTCACATGACACAAGCTGGTAACCAGAGGGACCAGCAGATGACCTGCACCTGACCCCACTCGCCGGGGCTAAATAACACCAGATACACACAAAATAACTGCTTATTCAGGCTCGGCTGGTGCAGCCTGTTAGGTTACTGTGTTGTAGTTTAAACACGTGAGCTTGATTCCCCCCCTCACCTCTTGTTGAAGATACTCTGATGTAATACCGACCACTGTGAGAGCTGAAATCATTTAACATGTAGCCTGTATATGTATGGCTTTGGCACCATTAGTTTAGCGTTTCATAGGGTTTTTTTTTTTTTTAGCTGAAATCCTCTAATTGCTGACATATTTGGGAAGCTTGTTAAATTTAACGGAAATACATCGAATCATTCACCTATGATAAGATAAAGTTCCCACAGACGAAGTTTTAAAGTTGTACATGTACAATGATCAAAGAAAATTTAGATTTAGGAAAAATCTGAATGAATATTGAAATCTCATATTCATTAAATCACTTTAAGAGTGGAATGATTTATTTTAAAAGCCTAAACTCAAGAATCTCAAATAAAAAACAGAATATTTGTAAAACATATTCTGTGTGTGTGTCAGCAAGTGAGTGACATAAAGAGTAAGAGGAGCATCTTCCTGTCACACAATAGGAAGTGTGTTAAATATGAATATATTTGTTAGTTCAGGTTCAGACAGTGACTGAATCTAATTTACTCCTGACCCCATGGTCCCAATGCATAATTTTATACTTCAGTAAATGGTTGTCATGTCCAAATTGTCCAAATAGACTTTGAAGCATCAGAAGAAGCTTTAGAGTATTTTTTTCAGAAATTAGAAGTACAGTAGTTACAGTGTACAGTGTAGTACAGTGTGTAAGATATTTTTTTAAACCCACAGCTCCATGGTGGTGAAGGTCAAAACTTTTGATCTGGACTGTTTAAAGGGCCAGTTACTCCAAATAACCAAAGCTGTGCATTGACCACATTCTGCCAGGCTTTAAATTTATGCATTAGTCCCCTACACCAATATTTCCTGCAGCTCAAACAGCTCATCTGTGCAAGAGAAACCTTCCCGTTCAGGTCTACACTTTACATTACACAATTTTTTGACATTTTTTGTTCCCGACTGTGATACAACTACAACATTTCAATGGAAGCAAGTAGAGGAATCTACAAACCCATCAGGGTATGTGACAGTATTTGTTTTTACTGCATTTCAGTTTAAAGAATTTGATGTAGTTTTAAAAGCTGACAAACTGACAATCAGTTTAAGTTACAATGAGTAACTCGTTATTTCTTTGACAGGTTTTGTTCAACACATGCATTCACGACATGGCTGTGGAGACCTGCTGATATCTTCCAGGCTACAGGGCTCAGGTAAGACCCAGATCCATGCAAACCAAAACAAACATAAAACATCAGGTAATTTCTGAGGACCTGAGTTTGGTGGTGTTCAAATGTCTCCTTTTATTTTTAGATTGCAATGATGATGGAGTTTCTTAGGCTTCAGCAGGAAAACAAAATCCCATCAAACATGAAGATCTGAGAGAGAGACAAGCAAAGAGACACTCAGAGAGCAGTGAGTTAAAGCGTAAATGCTGAGAGAAAACCTCTCTTTTGTTTTCTTTTGAAGGCTTTGAGAGTTTGAATTAGATGATTTTGATGAAGAAGAAGCCAAACCTCTTCTGAAACTGGTGAGACTAGAAAGCTCACAAGACGTTTGGAGATTTTTTCATTATGTTCACATAACCTCTAGAAAAAAAATCCACTGTAAATGTGTTTTTCATCTTAGGTTTGGGCCGTGAATGTCATTAACAAAATGAGGGATATAAAGTTTCAAGCCTGGACGCTCCTTAGGCCGTACGTCCTAAATATCAATGAGATTCTTAATAGTCCAGCTACAGTGTTTCAATATTTCTATCATTCTTTAAATATGTTTAAAAGATCATTCTTATAACATTACTCTACAGAACACCTAAAGTCCTCAGCATGGTGAGAAATTACATTCAGATCCTGAAAGAGAAGCATCAGGAAGCACAAAGCACCAAACTGCTCACCGCACACGAACTGGTTATACAGGTAGTTCCCTGCGTCCTGCAGGGCTTCTGGGAGCTTCCTCCTCGCCCCCTGTTGAACAGGGCCTCCCAGAATCTGAGCATAATCTCCTTCAGTGTCACAAAGGCCACTTTGGATCATGTCACCAAAACTCTCACAGCGGTGGAAAGCCAGGCCATCTTCTCCTGCTCCATTAAAGATGACATGGTCCACAGCATACTGACAGAAATCAGAGACAAATATCCTCAAGAAATTCTACTCACCAACAGTGCAAACTTTGCGCCAGTGCTGCTCATTTCAATTGCAGATGTAGAAAAGAACGATATATCCAAGATCTTTAAGCCCCCTTCTGAAACTCCACCAATTTCTGATGTTCTTTCCAATGAAGAATGTCCTTCTGAAAGACCCTGCCAAAAAGTCTGAAAGTCGGCCAATGCCTGCTGTTCCCCTCAGCGAAGAACCTCCTTTTGAAAGTTCCCTGTGAGGAACCTCCTTCTGAAACTCCATCCATGTCTCAGTCAGCTGTATCTGTTATCAATATTCCAGAGAAGTCTGAAGACCTTAAAATCAGGAAGAAAAAGAAGAAAGAACGGGGTGTCTTCCAAAAACTCAAAAGTCTGTGCTGTTGCTGTTTCAGAGCCAGAGAAACTGACTGACTATGAGACTCCCATCTGTCTGTTCTCACGCTACAAAATAAAAAAAAAAACTCATCAATATTTCTGCATGAATCTGCATCTATATTTAAAAAATATTTTTCCTTTAGATGTCTATAAGAGTCTCTTAGGGTTCCTCCACAAGTACAGTAAGTAACATAACAGTAGTATTATTATTTTTAAGAAAACTTATTTTTACTGTTAACATATTAACAACAGTAACTGAAACTGGTATATAAAACCTCAGAATACATTTCCTTAAAAAAATTGTTTGATTTATATTTTTATAACTGCTGAATCTTTGGTGAAAAAAATGTTGAATAACAAATACAATGAATGATTCACACGAAAGCCAAAGTGCAGAGCTGTTCAAAGCTGAAGTTCAAGCAGGAAACACCATAATATTTGCAGAATATATTCTGTGTGCGTGAGTATCAGCGAGTGAGTGACATATAGAGAAAGAGGGGAATCAAATGTACAGGTAAAATAGTTCTTAATCTTGAACTGTTTTGTGGATTTCACTTTAAGACTCACTGTGTGTTAATTAGGAGATCACCTTTACACACTAAAAGCAGAGACATTAAAATAGGTTAGATGAGTTGAAATGTGGGCGAATCAACTACAGACAAATGCTTTCAGTTCTAATCATCCAGTCGGAAAAAATGATTCTACGAGTCATCAACTGCCCTGATTTGAACCAGCTGCCTGCTGAAGACAAATCGACCAATGAAAAATAAGCCTGAAATTAATGTACCGATCAGAATGCTCTATAATTCCCATACACTTAAATTCACCATCTGAAGATAAAAGCCAACAGCTTTCAGCTGGACTGCAGTAAATACTGACATAGTGTTACTCTGTGGGAAATCACGCTCAAATTTCTCTCTGTGCACTTGATGAAAAGTCTTAACTTAACTAATCTTAAGTCCTATCAAAATACTGTTTGAACCATGAGGATCTTTATGGGTCAGTTAGAAGGTACTCACTTCACTTGCATCTACACAGTTCAGAAAGGGTCCAAAACTAATTGGACATCAACTAAAGTAATTTTGGTTCAGTAATTAATTATTCACAACTTTATGTCAAACAAATTCCAAAAAAGGGTTGAACTGTTCTAACACTTAGATTATTATTATTATTATTTTTATGATGAATATGATTATTGATTATATAGTACTGCATAAAAAACAACAAACTGTTCAGATAGTAATGTCCTTTATTAGGATAAACAGTAGAATGACAGGAAAGCTGCAAAGTAACTCAGTTTTAAAACAGTAGTTTGTGTTAAAGGCTCTGTTTGTATCCAAATCACAAAAATTAAAACATTACAGCTGTCCAAGCAACATCACAATTATAAATCAACCCAAAAGAAAACAAACCTCCAAGTAAAAAGTGAGTACTGGCTTTAAAACAAAGAAAAAGCATCCCTGCATCTTATGCAGTCTTCAAAAAATAAAAGAAAATCAGCATATATAAAACATAGAACAGTATAGGTGCTTCAGCTTAAAAAAACAACAACAACAAACTTTCGATTTAGTATGTCTAGTAAAGTTTGCTCTAAACCTAAAAATGTGCATTTAAAATGAGTTCTACAGTACATGTACTGTGCAGCATCAGATCCTCCTCCCCTGGATATCATCTGTTTTTGCAAGTTCTCTCCTCTGATCGGGTCTCTTGTTTTCACTGCAGCTCTTTTCGAATACTGTATTGGAGAAAGAAAAAAACCCCACAATCAGACATGACAGCTCTAGTTTTTAGCTGCTGGCTGAATAAAGGCTGCAACCAGTGGTTATGATCATCACTGATCCGTCAACAATTTCAGTCTGAACACACGGTGCTCAGAGCTCAAGAATCGATCACTGCCTGCATACTGGCCTTCAACCAAAGACACCCAAAAATCAATGAGACAACAAATACAAAGCAAACAAGACCCAACACTTATATTTACGATCTATGCATCTCATGTCTCGGCTAATCATTGTAATTGTTTCAGTAATTGCTCACATTCAGACTCAATTAGTAAGCATTGAGTATTCAGGTATTTTAGGAAATGTTCACTTTTATAATATAAAATATCAACATCAAGTATCCAAACTGATAATAATATTTGCAACATGCAATTTTATTTAAAGACATTAAAAAAAACATTATTCTGTGGTTGACAACAAAATGAACCGACTCCACCTGTACTTAATAAAACAGTGTAACTTTTGTAAATCAGCTGTAAAACTAACCACACCTATGAGCGCTATTTGGGGATTGCGCTCACACGCCATTTACTTAGGCTGTTTAGTAATTCGTGCCCTTTATTGTCAATAAATCTAGAAAAATAATTTTACATCATATCAGTTTCTTGGGAAATCCAGTTTGTGATATTCAAAACAAAACAAAAATCCCAAACCACAGACTCACCTCTCCAAATACTCGTGCACGTTGTCGTGGCCGTTGTAGCGAGCCAAACCGACCAGAATACCGGTGGCACAGCGGCCCTCTTTCTTACGACACAGGCTGCAGTTGCACATCCCTCTGCAGATGGGACACGACCACGTCTACAAAGAAAAGATCCCAACTCTATTTGTTCAGTTGGTCACTAATTGTCTGCTCTTCAGGCTCTGTGCTTCAGCACACTCTATTGGAAATGATTAAATAATTCATATAAATGGTCTCTGCTTTGATCTCAGTAATAAAGAATAAGTAACAAATTGTTGGTGAAAAATCTATAACCTTTCATCTCTTTGTTAGATTTTTGTTTGTTGAAGCTTCCTCGGTTTGCCCCCAGTCATACTGAACTCCTCCTCAACTTAAATCACAGCTCTCACTCAGATCTGAGCCACATGTGAGCTCCTTAGTGTAAGAACCAAGATCAATATGAAGCACGGCTGCCATAGAAACATCTCAGGCTGGACACTATGTGCTAACACAGATATTCCTCATCTCCATTCCCTCTCTATATATGTAAATGTACTTAAATTACAACTGATACTTGACAGCAATGATCATCAGCTAAAGGAAAACTTGATGTTAAAAAAAAGCCTATACATGTGCAAAGCAGCATTTTTTCCTTAATATATTTTAGTCGAATTTACAACATTCTGCACCTTTTGTGCTCAGACTTTCCAGTAATTACATTAAAGTTTCAGCAGGGGGCGCTCTTTGCCTTGTACCAATTGCTGTTCACTTCTAAGTTTAGTTTTATTTAAAAATTCCCAATGACAGAGGATTTTAAAGAGATTCAGAACATTGTCCACTATGTAAGACTTCCTCGAGCATCACATCACTGTGCAGCGACTTTTTGTAAAAACACATTTTAAAAAGAAAATTTAAGAATGTAATCACAACTACCAAAAGATTATTACTTATTCGAAAGACAAAAGAAACCACGATCGCCTGGGGTAGACCAAACCCACAGTGAGAAACATGTTTAACACGTGTGGATTAGGACTAACCGGGTCTAGCAGCACGGTGCATACGTCCTCTCCATAGCGGTTCTTGAGGCACGGTCCACAGAACTGACCTTTGGCCCCCACACAGAAACCACTGCGACACACTGTCTTAGTGTCCAGAGTCTTCTGTCTGCACTGGTGACATGAGCTTCCCTGGATGAGAACACACACATATAGACACACACACATACAGGGTGAAAAAAAATTGCTCCAACTCAGGAAACCTAAGAATACAACACACTGCTGCAGACTACTGTTAGCCCAAATCTGAGGACGGCCTGATGACACTCACATTCTCCTTGTCCCAGATCTTGTCTTTGCTGCGGTACGCTATGTTGTCCAGGTCTTCTTTGGTGATCTCGTCAACCGACTTCACGCAATATTGACTCTTCCTGGAAGACTGGCTCCTTCTCTTTTTGTGTTTCTCACCAACATGGTCGTCATCCACCTGCCAGGTTACATAAAAGTGAAATGCCACAAACAAATTTTATTCATCCTTACTGACTAAATATCAGTTTTATACATAAAATCCATAGCAGATGTTTTAGGAGTAATTGGTTTGGGGGAAAATGTGCACACAGTACTCCACTAAAGAGCTCTCAAAACTAAACATCTAACAGAGTATCATTATTACAATTTACTATGATATGCACATCTGTGCTATCACACTAACTATAAATTGTACCAAGTCCAGATTAAAGACAAGGAAATTTTCAATAACCTGTTTGATCAAAAAGCCCTTTGTTTCCTGTTGAGTTCATCCATGCGTTTGTGTTGCTATATGTCAGCAGACAGTGTGTTGGGTGTTGTACCTCCACCAGTCTCTTGATATCTACAGTACGGGGGCTTCGGACATGAATTGGCTCGCTCTTTTCCTCCACTGCAAAGTTCTCGGGAGGACGAGCCTTACGCGACGGGTTCCTCCTTTCTGACACCACGTCCGTTTCAGACTTGCGTTTCTTTGGCGTTGCCCTCTCTGACAGCCGTTTCTTCTTCTGTGGAAATAGAGCAAAGACAATGTTTGTCAGTAAAAACACAGACTCTGTAAAATAAATAAACAAAATAAACACAAAAACATAAAAAACAAAAAAACACCTATAAAAATATTTTTACATTTTTAAGAGGTTGACTCTTACTCACACATACACACCAGTGTCCAGTTTTGCATTTGTTTTCTTGTTTAGTATTATGTGTGTGTTTTTAAAGCCTACTTACAAGAACGGTTCATACTTCAGTACAGACATATACTAGTATAGTCTTATTTCTACATAGTTTGAATGCACCAAATATAAACTCTTCCGATATTTCCATGTATTTCTATGAGACTATATCTTTATTAGAATGTGTAGAATTTTAACCAACTGAAGCTGGACATTTTCTGCTTTTTGATTGTAGTCTGAGTAGTATGGACCCATTAAATTTGACAGTGCTTTGGTTGCATATACTGTAGGTTAAAAAAAAAATAAAAAAATACTGGTGGCTGCCAGTGCTACCCCTGAGCCTCCTACTACACACATCTATGGTATCCATTCAAAATAATACGTCACTTTTATTCTCAAGTTACTGCATTCACAAGATTTTCAGAAAACTTGCCTCTGGCCTTGCGGTCAAGGTTACCCAGATTAGATTTTAGTAGATACATCCATTGTATCATTTTGAAACTCATACGTCACCTCATTCAAGATTTATCGCATTCACAAACTCGGGTTTCCACGCCGCCCAGCAGGGTGACAACAATTCCCAATCAGCCTTTTACGGCTGAGGGTAAAAAGCTCCACGTAAACAGCGAGTGAGAGATTTTATTTACTGAAATACAGTTTTACAACCGCTGGTTATCATCAGACTGCAAGTCAGCCTTGTAATATTAGCTATTAGCTGTTTTAATTCATCTATATTTGTAACAATGACCAGTATAATGTCATTATTGCATAAATGCCTGTATTTGTATAGCGCTTTACTAGTCCCGAAGGACCCCAAAGCGCTTTACACACCCATTCACACACACATTCACACACTGGTGATGGCAAGCTACTTTGTAGCCACTGACGGAGGCGAGGCTGCCGGACACTGGCGCCACCGGGCCCTCTGACCACCACCAGCAGGCAACGGGGGAAGTGTCTTGCCCAAGGACACAACAACCGAGACTGTCCGAGCCGGGGCTCGAACCGGCAACCTTCCGATTACAAGGCGAATTCCCAACTCTTGAGCCACGATCGCCATAAGGACACTGTCTTGACCTCAATACAACATTCGATGGGCTTTCAGATTGCTTCACTAGTTTTATTTTTTTTGTCTATTTATGTTCCATCACATGAAACTGCCACATATACTCACCTGAGGAGTGGTGGGTGCTGTCAGGTCAGCCATCGTTGTACTCAGATCAGCAAACAACTTGGCCAGCTGACAAAAAACAAAACAAAACAAACAAACAAACAAAAAACACCACCACATAATCAAGTTAAGAACTACTGACAAAGAAAAAGCTGTTGTATTATTGTAAATGTGTTGAGATGTCAGAATATGAAAGGGCAGGAAGGGTTCAATACCATGGCCTTGTTTTCTTGGATGTTCTTGTCTCGTTTCTTTAGGCTATGAGAGAGTTCCTCCTCCTCTTTGTCTTCATCCTCCTCCTCCTCCTTTTCTTCATCCTGTTTCTGCTTCACCTTCTGCCTTCCTCTGGATATTTGTGAGGGAGATTTTCCTTTGACTGGCTTTTTAACACTTTTCTCTTGTGTTTCCTTCTTGGGTGAAGACACTCTTTTGACAGGAAACCTGAGGAGAAGGTTTTCAAAAAAAGTCTATTCAATCACTACAGAATCAGCACAACAGACATGAAACAGACAGAAAGAGAAACAAAAAAATGAGAATTTGAATGCTCATTATGCTTTTTCATTTTAAATAATAGTGCCTTTATATTTTTACCTTATACATATTAAAAGAAGATACGTCAGCAATCACAGATTTAGGGACAGTGACAAGGAGCCCAGTTTCACTCTAATCAAGTTACTTAAAAACAACAACAGCAACTAAAAAACAACCCAAAACTTACTTAAACCAGTTTTACACATGCACCTACCTCAGAGCTACTAAAAGACTCCTTCTCTTTGCTGGTGGGGCCTCCTCCTCATCAGAGTGGAAGCCTGTGTCTATGTCACTGTCCTCTTCTGAATCCACCACCTGCAGAAAACCAAAGAAAAAGAAAGCATGCAGGCTTCTGCTTTGGCTGTAACATTTTTGTGAAACAACACAGCGTTAGCAGTTTCATACTTTGGTCCTTAGTTGCTTGTTAAAGCGTCCTCTATCCTCTTCTTCCTCATCCTCACTGAAACCTTCAAAGTCCTCCTCACTGTCTGACTGGGTGAACAGATGAGCCAGCTCGGCAGTTATATACTTGGATTTGAAGCATGGAGCCTGTTGGCAGATATGTAAAGCACCATATTAAACAAGTTGCAGTCAACATTTTTCACTAGAGGGAGCTACTTCGCTATTAGTGGACAAGCTTCTCCACTATGTGAAAGGTGCAGTGAAAACAAGAGGCAACTTCCAGAGCTGTGAAATGAGGCCAAAATGCACATGCCAGTTCCTTTCATTGCCACTTGAGGCTGACTCCAAAAGCACGTCAATCCTGACAGACTCCTATGTGTGGTCCTCCACACAGTGCATTGCTGTTTGATTCTACAGTCCCTTAATTTTCTGTGGCTAATAATAATAATAATAATATTGATATTAATATGCCTTTTCTTCATATGATGTTTTTCTTTTCTTCTGAGAGATCTAACGGTGACCTGTTGTCCCATTCTTTTGTTTTGTCTTCCTCTTGATTGTACACATTTCTTCTATTTGCCATTTATTCCTGTCGTCTTACGATTTATATCCTACTCCTCCTGCACATGCACTCCTCCATGTACAATGACAATAAAGGGCTATTCTATTCTATTGTATTCTAGATGCTCATATTTAACATGGCAAAAAAATTAAAATAATTTGATACAAGCCTATCACAAATATTTTTTTCTTCACACTTGACTCTGTATAATGTCAAAAAGGAAAAATCTGTGACTGTTTCTGGCACACATCTGTGGCTGAGCGTAGAAGTACCACCCACCTTCTGTTTGTGAGGGGTAGCCAATCAGAGTAAGCTGGCTCTAGGAAAAGCAACTTTTCACATACTTTGGGTGCCTACATTTTGCCAGTGTAGGTCAAATAGAGAGAAGACAAGAATTTAAATTACATATGATTTTTATGATTTCCAAATTTTAAATGGAGAAGTGGGCTTTACAATAGAAAAAAACATCTCTCCACCATTACTGATAAAGTAAATATAAAATAATCCACCAGCTCAAATCAGATGTTATAGTAGCATCACTGCTTCAAGATCAATTTTATAGGCAGCTTATCAAATGTAAAGTTTGTTTACAGGCATTTATGTAGGGGAGAGGTTCAGATTTTACGTGCTGTAAATGAATCTATGTCATCTTAACTTTGTCTCAGGAAAGCAGCTGATGTCCCAGTTGTTTGGCTAAACCACCTCTTTCAGCTTCAGCAAAGCTGACCTTTGACCTCGCAGAAAAACAAACCGGAACCCACCTATGAAGCCCCCCCATAAAAACAAAACTAAACCCAGCATCAGCTCATTTTTACCACAACCTTAAACTCAGAATGTACCTGAACACTAATCCGAAGCTGAGTACATATCAAGTCGCTGCTTTGCCAGATGACATGTACAAAAGAAACCTTTGAACTAGCCTGTATATAATTCAGAAAACGAATCGTAACTTTAGTGATTCAGGCCGACCATGCCACCAATGTTAGCGGCTTTGGATCTCGTTTAGTGACTCGGCAGGACTTTTCTTTACCCTAAAATCCAACAGGCAAAAGAAAGCCACGCTTACACGAGATTTGCTCTACGACTTACCTTTGACGTGAGGGTCATTTTACTCTGTTTATAACCAGACTGTGGCATAACAATAACTTTTATCTTGTTACATGAGACTCCGCGATAGAGGTGGATTTAAAAACTAACCGCTAGAAAAGCCCGGCGAATGCAAACATGGGGGTTTTGTATTTGCTGATCCTTTGCTTAATTTATAGTTAAGTCCATCTGCTTAAACTTTGAGACTCCACTCACGGTGTGTATATCAAAACACAACGGTCTCACTCATTTGTAGGTTTTGGTAAAAAGGTTTATCTATGTTTTGAAGTAGTAGTATTTCTACTTTCCCCCATTACTCAAAATGGTCTAGTCCCGCTTTTCGCGCGAAAAACGGCATGTGGGCGTGTCTATGTTTAGAGCCAGGGAAACCTTTGCCTGAAGGCAAGTTTCTTGTCGTTATGATTGGAGTTTCTTGCTGACTATATATTTAACGCAGTTCTATTTTCTGAAGTGGTGGAATATAAATTAATAACAATAACTTAAAGACAACAGGGAAATACAATGTTGAGGTGTTTTTCTTAGTGACTCTTATAATAGTTCAGTTTTCTAGAGTTATTAACTTTTTTTGCATTACTGAGGAAAACTGAAAAGATGGTGTTTGATGTAACCTTTGGACACGGAAAGAGGACAAGGAGACCAAAATCTGAAAATGAAGTGAAATGATGTGGAAAAAAGGTCAGAAGATCAGGAACCCACTGAGGTTGACTTCGCTGTCGTGAAAGTTCATGGACTCATGGTCTGGTGGAGACTGATGAGGCGGTCTCGAAGAGGACCACGAGCAGATCGGGCACTGAGAGTGCTTTCTTCATCACAGAAAAGATGATGATGTTGTGAAGAAGCTCTATGATCTGTCAGGTGCTCAGCTAAAGAAGCTGCCAGCTTCTTAGTTAGACAGTTAAACTAGTTGTTACTCATGTAACCTTCACTCATATTGTCTTGTTGCTACCTATTTTATAATGATTCAGAGACTGAGTTCATAGAAGACTTTGAATGAGCAATCTTTGTCCTTATATAGCACTCCAGGAGTCAAAACTTGTGCAACACAAGACCTTCCAATAACATAAAACCTGTAATGTAAAATGTGGACTTGTCGATTGTCTTGTTGTTGTTGTTTATTTAATTTCCATGATATATATGATAACATCATAATACCATATGACAAGTACAGATCTAACATGTTATTTGTCATGCAGGAATGGTTCAAACAACACCTTTCACAATGGATCTTAAAGTATTGATAAGACACCTGTTAATTAAAGCATCTGACATCAGCAGCATCACATTGACTTTTTCTTCTGCTGCCCTCAAGTGGCCACAAAGTAAATAACAGGTACTTACATTGCAGCTGTAAAGATTCAAACCACAAACATCTTTTCCTCTCAGGAGAGCTCTTCTACATGGCTTAACCCCCAAAATAAATCACATTACAAGAATGCTGCTGTATGAAGCTTTGGAGTACAAAGTACTTTGAGAGTTCAACTGAACAGAAAGGTGCTAAATAAGTATCAGTCCAGTTCATTTAAGTCTCATTAGGCTGATTGTACAGACAAATGTGTGTTTGGATTCTGGCCACTCTGTTATGCACTGGTTACTTTGATCATATTTTCTATAGCAGGGTGTGTTAGAGACACTGGCTCTAATGTCCCCCGTGCACTGATTTGCTGTTCTGTTCTACCCACTTAAACAGCCCAGGACTCAATAAATAAATTAAACAGGAGAAATAGAAGTTTGTGAGGTTTTACAGCACATAATTATATATTTTTTAATAACAGTAAATGCACAGAAATAAATTGATTATGGCAGGCCATCTTACTGTCAATAAAAAAAAACTGAACCACCAAAACAAAACAAAACATTTTGTTTTCTTTGTTGTTTTTAAACATGCTATGAGATGTTTGTATTGCAGTTAAAATCAGAGATTAACTGTGACGTGTGTGAAATGTGACATGATATTCAAATGTAAACTATAATGTACTTTTAGAAACAAAGGCAGTAGAGTTTTAAGCAAATTTTAAAGCTAAAAGACATTTTAGGAAAGTCGGACCTTATAGAAAATGTCAGAGGTCCAAAGTAACGTGGTATTTAGAATCCCCACATATCATTTTCTCACTGTCTCTATCCTGTCAATACAAACAATGGCAGTATGAAACATAGTTTTAATAAAAAGGTCTATATAGAATTATTTCCACTTTGACTTCCAGATCAATCTATTAGGCTTCGTACGGGTGCTTGAAATCCTTGAAAATGCTTTAATTTTAATACTATATTTTCAAGGTTTGTTAAGTGCTTGAATTTCAGATGTGGTGCTAAAAGGTGCTTGAAACTGTAACTTTATTTAATTCACCACAAATAACTATCTGATTGAATAGTTTTCTTATCAGAAAGAGAAATAAAATGAGTTGACAACGCGGAGACTAAAGCTACACTTTAAAGTAATGAGAAACAACTTTATTACGTGACCAGCTCGTTCCGGCTTGTGGCCTCAGGGTCATTGTAAAAAGTGAAACAGTTTGTGTTTAAATAAAAGACAAGAAACTGAAATTTTTTCAAATGGACCAATCACACCTTCACAAATAAACCACATGAACAATTGACATTTAAGAGGTGGTATTGGCTAATTGGTTAAGTCACAGTACAAATAGATTCTGGACACAAAAAATGCAAATAAGTTGATTTAAAAAATAAAAAAGATAAAAATAAAAAGTTAATATGAGTACAAGAACATTAAAAGAGGGAGACAATGCCAAAATCTAGTCAAAAACATACAAACACAAAAGGTACATTTCACAGAAACTCATTGATAGAAAAATCCTCATTCATGCCTCTCGGGTGTAAAGTCTGTAAACGAAATATCCAGAATGCTTCTCTTTTTATCTGATAAAATTAATGTTACCACCTCTTTGACTGGGTTCAATGGCTCCAATGCCTATAAAAAAAGGTTTCATTCAAAATCTGTTTATCATGAGTACCTACACATTAAACAACTTAAACATTATAAATGGCTTCAAGCTCACATTGAGGCCTGTGGGGCGCTATCCACCACTGAGGCAATAGACAAATTTATGTGTTTTCATATATGAATATTTCATACTTTAAGGCTGCCTGTTTATTTAAGGGAGATGAACAATATGTTATAATTGTACATACGATGATATATTAAATAAATAGATTTTAGGTAGATAATTGTGCAAGTCTTATATGTTTAACTGAAACGAGTATGTGATCTGTTCAAAGCCTCACCCAGTCAGTGCTGTTCTCCATGCCAGTCTTACTGTACACAGTGTTATTAGCATAAACACTTTAAAGGTGATAATTTAGGACTTCAACAATAATACAGACAGCATTATAGTTAAACATCTTACAGTTTTAATTATGAATGAACTTTAAACTTGTGGGGATAGGTTAATTGGATAATCCAAATTGCCACTAGGTGTGAATGTGCGAGTGAATGTGAGTGCGAATGGTTGTCTGTCCCTGTGTGTTAGCCCTGCAACACACTGGCGACCTGTCCAGCGTGTACCCCGCCTCTCGCCCTATAACAGCTGGGATAGGCTCCAGCGCCCCCCGCGACCCTGAAAAGGATAAGCGGAAGCGAATGGATGGATGGAACTTTAAACTGTCTCCTATTTTTTGTGTCACATAGTGAAGAATCAATGTCTGATGAGAAGACTTATCAATTTGGCTTTACTGTGTATTATTGTGGTGTTTGGTGGAGTTTTCTTGTTTTGTGGGGTTGTGTTTTTTTCAAGAGGAGATGAATATCTCTAACAAGTTGATTTGTTCACATTTGCACATCTTAATTTTTAGGTGAAATGTGTGTTTTGAGTTTGTACACTATATGCATATAAGGCAACCTTTTCCTTTTGCAATATTTTATGTGGTGCGTTTCTCTATGTTTTTACAAAAGGGGTACAAAGGACATTTAAGTCAGTGGCTGGGGAGGGTGGGGTATGAATTTAAAAAAAAGAATACTTGGACACTGCTAGCATAATAGACAGGTTTTTTATGGGGATCTCACACAAACGCAAAGCAGAAGATAAAGCATTAGCAAATATGCTTCGAAAACAACTTCCTTCCAAGCCAAAGACTAGAAAAAATGATGAAGCATATCTTGCCTTTGGCTTCACCTGCACAATGTTGGTGCCAAGTTAGGTTTCCACGACAGAATTAGTTTCCCCTGCGTCGAGAGCACACGCTGGGCTGTCCAAATCACAGACAAACAGTATCCCACATTTTTGATTTTTTGTTCACAAACACTTCTTATAATTATTAACTCACCTGAAATTTTGGAGATGTTAGCTCTTTAAACTGCAAAGTTACAGTGGGATACAAATAACATTAGGCTGATCCTGCCACAATTTGTCCCCCCGTCCACATCACGGACAAACAGTACTTCATAAGGGGAGAAAAGGGACCTGAAGAACAATTCACGTTCTCTCGGAACAAAGTGATGTTTGTTTTTGCTTTGCAACTCCATATTTATTGTATCATAAAGGTCTTATCAAAATAAAGGTTAAACAGGAAGGTAGAAACTCTCCCGAGCTGCTCCAGTAAACAAGGACAGATTGAACTCCCCCCGCCCAGAAGGATCCTCTCTATGTTGTGAAACCAGAGATATGTGACTCTGCTATAGCAGACAAAGATGAAGTAAACAAAACTATAAAAACATATTAAATAATACAATTAGGACCTTTGGTTTCTAGATGGATTTTTTTTAACAGATTGAAACATTTTTTTAAGTCTTCTATAAATATTGGATATTTAAAGTCAATGAAAAAGTTTGAGATACCTTTTATTACAGCAAATTGTTTATTTCTTATTTAAATTTAATAAGAAACATGTTTCAGTATCACATCTACAGAAAACAGACATTAAAATTTAAAAATATTTCAAGATACTCTTAATTGAATGAAGTTAAAATAAGGGGAGACATATACTTTTGTACAGAAGTTAAAGCAATTCTTAGTTTTGACCCTTTTGGGCACATCATTGCTGCACAGTGACTGGTGCATTCAGCACCTTTATTCCTGCAACTCCATGGCTGTCATGTTGACTTTGTATCCTTCCAGGTGGAGGTGCAGTTTTATCTGAAAGCTTTCTTCATCCTTCTGATCCTTTCTAGACTCTAACTAATTATGAAGTACGAAATAATGACAGTAAGAACTAACATTTAGTGTTTTATGATCTCACATTGCTTTAAATAGACATCAGTGGATGTCAATAAACTGATTTATTATTTGATTGCATATTGAATACGGCCTGGCTGCCTCTGTGCAAATGTGCAAAAGGAGAGAGTCAGTCAGTACTTTTAAACCATGTAGTAATTATAGTAAGTACAGTAATAATAGTTTCACACATTCAAAGTGATACACAGCTGTTGGAAATATGTGATATTTATCATGATATCAAACAAGCTGTTAAATATTGTCACAAAAGCTACATGTCATTAGAAAACTCTGGAAAATTGTGACATTAAGCAGCTTATAAATGTATTTATAAATGTTCTCCTTGACTTTCCTTTTATTAGTGAGCTTACTTCATTTCTAACACAAGGTCTCAGGACAGACATATTATTTATTTATGAGATCATCATTGAGCTTTAAGTCTTGTTTCTGCAGAATTGATTCAAGTGTGTTTTGGTAAAATTATTCACAACTCAAAGACATCACTTAACTACTTATTGACACGTGTTGAGCTCTGGCCTTTTCTAGAGAACTTCACTGCTTGTTTGTCTGAGTATTTATTGTTTAATTATATTATAAAATCACATCATCAACAAAATGCTAAACAGAATAGGTTACTATATCAGGAAGAGGAAATAGAAGTGTACAATCATTCTCAGTAAAATAAAAACTGTCAAAACAAACCCTGTGCACACTTTTTATTGCAGTGAACACATATAAATGAAGTGATCGTGGGCGGCCTGTTCAGAGGCAGGTAGATAAACAATTAGAACCTTTGGTTTAGTAGATTTGTGTTTTTTATGGTATTGTAATTTGCAACTTTGAAACATATTTTTTAATTTTAACTATTGTCTCTCTTTTAATGTTTACAGTGTATGAAAAGAGCACCGCAGACAGATTGCTATTCTTAATTTATTTCTTTACTCTTGTTTTTTTGCAAACTCTATAAATGGCACAGACTGAACATAATGACAAAAAGACTCAATATATACAATATAGAGACAGTGGAATACTGACAGGGAAACACAAAAGTTGTTTTCAATACGTATTAATATTAATCTGAATAATTGCAGAGTCCAAAAATTCTCTCTCTGAACAGAAAGGGAACAGAGGGTTAAAAATCGTCCACATCTCAATGACATCACAAAGCAATTTTACTTTACTATGTATTAAACTGGGCTTTGGCACTTTCAGGAGAATTGACTGTTTGTTTGTCTGAGTATTTATGGTTTTATTATATTACAAAGTCACATTATCAGCGAAAAGAAAAACAGAATAGGTTACTGTACCAGGAAGAAACAGAGGTTTACAAGCCTCTCCAGTAAAAAATACAAAACAAACTCTGTGCACAGCTTTTATAACAGTGAACACATAAATGAAGTGATTGTGGCTGGCCTAGACCTTTAGAGTCAATAAAAGGAAAGACCGTCTATTTAACTTTTTTTTTACTTTGCCACTTTGAAATATTTACTGTGCATGCAAATATTTAAGCTCCCCTTTGTCTATTACATTTTTAAATTCACCAAAATGAAATCCCTGCAATAAATAAACATTTAAACTAAAAGCAGATCATAACCACTGCTGTGCCAGCTAGGCTGTCCTTTGGCACTCATGTGGGGGGTTTGTCTCACTTTCTATTCTAAAATGTGAAGTGCAGTCTTAAAGCTTTTTTCATCTCAACTTCCACCATATCCCTTTACTAAAGTTTCTTGAACATACACAAAGAGATGGAAAGATGAGAGAGGCTTTCAGTTAGGGAGTACGGAAAGAGGGCATGACCCTCAGTAGCTTCAAGTCTTAAAGGATCTTTTAGAAGGAAACTGGGCCATAGTTAGAAACAGGTAGAAACCAACACAGTTAAACATCAAACATCTAAAAACTATGTGACCTTATGAGAATAATGTTCTTTTGGTTTTTCCTGCGACATTTCTCAGGCAAGTGAGAATGTAGGCTATTTAAAATAAGTAACAGGGATGAGCAATCAAAAAAGCCCCAAACCATGATAATTGCTCCATTTAACTTTTTTTGGCCTTGAACATTTGTGTGATTTTTCTTCTTCTTAGTGAATCATTGCTGGTGCAGCCATGCCATCACATAACATGCAAACCTAGAATTTAGACAGGATTTTCTGAATGGATACACTGACTACAGTTTAAGGATAGTGTTAGTTTCTGTTAGGTATTCAAAGGCGGACCCAAAGTAAATGACAAAAGCCCCAAAACAGATACTGTGACAAAGCCTGAGTAATATATATGTATATACAGAGGTGTGGTTACATGTCTGTCATGTACAAGTCAAAACTACAAATGACTGCCACAATGCCAGTTAATATGATAGTTAATATGTATGCCACCTGACTTTGTTAGACATTCACTCTTATCTAATTTAGCTATATCTGTATAATGAACTCTCATTTTGCTAACATACTGTATGACTATATATTCATATATACCCTGTCCCCCTCTGTACATCTCCAAACCATGTAAGCATCACCTCTCTAATTTTGTCTAAATGGGTCAACCTAAGCTGTCCCTCTGATGTATTCCTTTCTTAATGACCATTCTGATGAGAATGAGATGAGAATCTTAACATTTTCAACTCAGACTCCTGTCCTTTTGTCAGTGCAACCATCTCTAAAATCATGCTTCATGGTAGTGAGAACTGCTTCACTACCATCTTTTAATGTCACGCCTCACCTCTGACACCTTTTTCCACCCACTCCACCCTGACTCCACTCTACTCTTCAACTCTCTTGTGCACTTTAAGTGTTTACTTCTTCCCACTCCCTTTCAACATGTAAATTAATAATTTTTTTGTATGCAATTTGTACAGTATTTTTTTTTCTTTCTTATTTTCTTTTCTAAATGTACTTGTATATTGTTCACATGTTGAAATAAATTACCAATCAATCAATCAATCAATCAATCAATCAATCAATCAATCACTTTCTGTAGCTTTGGAGGGTTGGTATTTAAATGTATCCTTCACTTCCTTGGCTCCTTGTAGCTTCACTGTTACACTTGTTTCCCTCTTATTCACACACGTATTCTGTCTTGCTTCTGCCTTAATCCCTCTTCTCCTCAGAGCATACCCCCACCTCTCCAGGCTCTACTCCACCTGCTCCCTACTCTCACTACAGTTTACAATGTGATCTGCGAACATCACAGTCCGTAGAGCGTCCTGCCTGACCTCATCTACCAAATACGAAGGGGCACAGAGCTGATCTCTGATGTAATCACACGTCCACACTAATACTGTGTACCTCGTGCTGTCTCTCTGTCCTGTGTTCAGCAACAACATAATTTGGGGCTTTTAATTTCACAAGTAATCTGAAATAAAAACGATCACCTCTCCACTGCTGCCTTTATCTTTAAGGAGAACATATGCACCTTTTGTCATCTATTTGAAGATTTTTTATTTTTCTGGAGTGATTAAGCAACAAGTGTGGTTTCATTCTTTGTCTCTTTAAGTGAGCTTCAGTAATCTGTGGCTGCTGACAGGTGTAGAAAGAAAACAAAAGTACTTTTTTCCACAGAAACATGACTTGACTTGGCTGCATGTTATACAATGGACTGTTTATACATATAACTACACAAAAGAGTTACTGATCATTAAATTTCATATTTTTTTAGTAACTTCTTTGTTTTGTTTTTATCTTGAAAAGACCTCATAAAGCTTCTCTAACTAACAGTACAGTGAGCATGTAGATTATTATATAATTATACAATTATATAAAAGATTATATAATCCAAATACTTTTAACCAGAACATGTTTGTTACCAAAATTATTTTACATTCTTATTAGAAATTATCACTTGGTTTTTGAGCTCATTAAGAGGTGTGTAAATATTCAGTATGATTGATTAAGCATTCGTGTTAAAGTTCAGTGAATTGCTGTTTATATACAGACATAAAGGTTTACATTGATTCTGTATCGTGATGCCCCATGCATGTCACCATAGCATGTCATTGCTGAATTAGTATCCTAATTTCTAATCACAGACTTTGCGTTTTACACAAACAGAGGCAAAGCTATCAGAGCATTTGTTGTCATTCCACTTCTTAACTGTATGATAGTTGTTTGTAACACAGTCCTCTTCTCCATCATTGTTTGGCTCGCCTGTTTTCCAGTTAACAAAACCTACCACAGAGCCATCAGACCACATCCATCTGCCCTCTCTGTGAGCATCACTGAGTCCAATCCAAGTGTCTCTCTGAGCAGGATCAAAGTTCCTGATCAGGGATCTGACAAAGTTCTCTTCCTCCATGTTGTGGATAGACACCAGGTTGGCTCCCTGTGACAAACAGTGGAACTCTGCATCAGACCAGCTCATCGGTGTAGCTACATACGTATAGCAGCGGCCGTTGAAGCTCCACCAGAACGGGGGACAGTTTCCTCTCAGGAGCTTCACTGCCCGGTCATCTGAAAATGACAGAAACAAGAAGAGGAAAAAGATCATGATTTGTTCAGGACATTACATATTAGCTTCTCTGCATCAGCTCCCTGCTAAATCCAGGTTAAAATTTAAAATCTTTGTCCTCACATACAAGGTATTAAATACTCTGTTCTGCTCTCAGACTGCTGGTTTACTTGTGGTTTTGAGGGCAAAGTGGACTGGGAGGCAGAGCCTTCCACTTTAAGCCTCCTCTACTGTGGAACCAGCTCCAGTTTGGATTCAGGACACTAATCTTACTTTTAATATTAAGCTTTTCTTTTTGATGAGGCCTAAAGTTCCACCAGTCACAACAAATGGCTGCTCCTCTCTGAGCCTGGTTCTGCTGGAGGTTTGAAACGTGGAACCAAATTAATGCATGTATCCCCAATTACACTAACACACATTTCTCTGAAAAACAAAACAAAAAAGATGATAAAAGTGCATTTAAAATCTAATGGTATGCTAAATAATATTAAAAAGACAAAAACAAAAAAGAAAACCACCACAAAAAAATAAACTACAATAAGTAAATGAAAGAAAAGAGGAGCCAGAATGTGGGACAGTTACCAAGTTGGAGCTTTACTTCATTGTCATCAGAAGGAGACTCAGAAGGAGCACCCAGAGCCAGACCGAGCAGGAAGAGGAGCAAGATCATGTTGGAGCTTTAAGTCTCAAAGTGTGATGAGGAGCTGCTGAAGCTTCTTTGTACAGGATGTTCAGATTTCTGCAGAGAGTTGTTCCTGCTTTCTTTTATAGCTGCCTGAGAGGCTGTTTTCACTCCACTCTAAACAATAACACTAAAAATGAGCCAGAAAAATACATCAAATTCCAATGAACTGAGCTGATGTGTAATTTATGTTTATGGTACCATAAAGCTATATCAGCATAATGATTAATCAAACAGGGTGAATCAGATCTCTAACAGGAAGGACCAAATAGAAACTCCTGAGCTGCTCCAGTAAACAAAGACAGATTGAACTCTCTCTGAATATGTGACTCTGCTATGGCAGCCAGTAAAGTTGAAGTAAATACAAATTTTAAAATGAATTAACTAACATAATTCAAACCTTTGGTTTATAGATGGATTTTTGAATACCATCCATCCATCCATTTGCTTCTGCTCATCCTTTTCAGGGTTGTGGGGGGTGCTGGAGCCTAT